ATTGATTACTTCACGACTACGGGAACTTGTTGCAGACGAAGATGTGAGTACATCATCACAAATATATATGCCTTTACCACTTCACTCTCGGGATGTGGCTGATGAACTAATTTGGACTCTTATAACCAATGGCAAATTTACTACTGCATCAGCTTATCGATTTATTTCAGATCAGTATGCACACTCCTCATCGATCATCAGGTTTGAAATTTGGAAATATTTCTTGGAAATCATTTTGGAATATAAAACATTTACCTCCACGAGTACATATGTTTTTGTGGCGATGCCTAGTTGGTGCTCTGGAGCTGAAATCATTTTTAAATATTTTGTAGCACTGTTTTTAAAACAGGATTGGACCAGACGGTCCGGGAAAATCAGATTGACCGATTCTGTTTTTCTCCAAAATCGCTTTTTTTTTTTTTTTAAATCGTTGATTTTGATTCAGCAAATCGTTGAACTGGCTGATTAATCGTTTGAACCGTTCGAAAGGTTTTGACCATTTTTTAATTTTTTTTAATTTTTAATTTTTTATTAGAACGGGCAGGCTATTCGAACCGGTAATCAGACCCCTGACCGGTTCGTTTTTAAAAACCATACTTTGTAATGAAGCAGTGGAAAATATTGTTCATCTCTCTTCTTTCATTGTCCTAGCTACTACCAGAAGGATTTGGTTTACAACTTAATTTGCATCTCGACTATCCATCAAATTGGAGTTACGCGATGATTGGTCATTAGAAAGTTGGTTCTCTCATTGGTTTCAACAGAAAGATCCGATAAACCCAGCTCATCTATCAAACTTTGCCATTTGTGCTATATATCCTCATGTGGCGTATATGGAAAGCTAGGTGCAAAACTGTGATGGAGCACAAAACTTTCGACCCAAAATCAGTAATAATTGCTGCACATGCTCATATTGATGTCTCATGAAAATAGGCATCGATTGACAACAATTAGAAATACTCCTTCCTAGTGGATCAAACCAATTTTTCCTTCATATAAGATTAACTTTGATGGGGCTATGAATAGAGAATAGTAGTGTGGGAGGAATTGGAATTTTAATAATCCGTGTGATCACAATGGTGACTTCTGTTTTGATAGAACAATACAAATCCCTGTAGCATCTCCCATTGAAGTGGAAGCAAAAGCAACTCTATCTAACCTTCAATTTGCATTAGAGGTTGGGATTACTTCCGTCATTCTGGAGGAAAGCTTTGCTCCTCCATGGCGCATCAGATCTCTGATAGCAAATTGCAAGCTCCTTTTCCCTCACTGCTCAGTTTACTGAGTTCCCAGAGAGTGCAACAAAACAGCTCACATTCTCGCAAAAAAAAAAAAGGCTCTTCATGTTCCTAGAATGTACACTTGGGGACTTACTCCACATTACACTTTGTATTTTGATTGTACTGGCCGGGCAGTCTTAATATTTAAGTTGAGGCCTATGCACACTGCATAGGAACCTCGTTTGCCATAAAAAAAAAAGCATCTAAGTCCATCAAGCGCCTGATCTATTGCCCAGTTGCCCTTGAGGCTAGCCCCATAATCAGGAGAGAGGAACCTTATTATTGTAACTTAGTTTTCTTTTTCTATATTAAAATTTCTCTGCATTCTGCACGCAACGACAACATGTCAAGAAATAATATTTTATGATTTAGAGTATTGCCAAATATTATAAATGGTCTTTGGGTAGAGCAGGCGAGGTATTCTTTCATTCTTTGTGATTAAGGGGCGCGAGTAAGATGTCGAACCCCGATACCTCTTCAATTGGTTTTTGACTTTTGCATTATTTGTTCGTTATTTTACAAGGGATAATGCTAGTCACAATGAAATTAATTAAGGTTCTCTGAAGGTCACATTTGCTTGGTAAAATGGTTCAAGAGTGAGTTACAGAGCGCCTAATTTTCTTTTCTAAAACAAGGCAAGCCAATGTAAATCAAGAAGAAGCTTCATGAACTAGTTGAATGTAAGGTTCAATGTCATCAGGGCTCTAATAATCATATAATTAAAGCTCCAATTTTATTATATTTCACTTTGCTCTTCTTTCCCAAATACGTAAAATGCATGCATGTCAAAACTTGAAACTTCTATCTATATCTATATATATCATAATGGGGGATGAGGGGGCAGTACAGTGTAAACGAAAGCGATGTAGGGATGGTGCATGTCTTTTACTTCTCAACTTGAATGATGAGATGGGGTCGTCGACCCACCACCATCAAAGGTCCAAAGCAATACATACAGAGATGGTAGAGGTAAAGGGATGGGGGCTAGCCGCTAGCTAGCTACATTTAGGCCATCGACTGACCCACTTTTGCCTGCTGCCAGTAGGTGTTGAAATATAATTCGTAGAAACAAATTAAGGACATTAATGTTGCAGTCGTACGTTTGGCATCCTAATGTTGATACAAAGGATGATTCCATCCATCTTCTCATTTATCTATATAGTCTACGTCTTTCCGGGCCGTATGTACATACGTAGTAGAGTTGTAGAACAAGGGAAATTGACGAGCACCTGCAGTCTGCAGACAGGAAATAAGGTTGGGCTTTATGGGCTAGACTAGATATCTCACGGCTTTGGTGCCTAGCCTAGCTAGTCCAATCGAATCGCCGCTCCTTTATGTCACACACCTTCCTCTCCGATTAAAACAAGTGCATTGAATATGCCCCCTAATGGCTTTTTAAACCTCTACTCTAGTAACTGTGTTGTTGGCTAAACCTGTTCCCACGACTAGGAGGTGATGTGACGAACACGTGAACAAGTATTCCTGGGAATTGGGAAACAACCAAAGCCACCGCATGGAAGGTTCAGGGTCATCTCTTATATTTTTTTGGATGACTCTACTCTCCAGTATGTATGTACGAGTATGTATAGCGCAAATAATCAGTAAGCTATGTTCACAATTTGTTATAAACTTGTGAGGTGTTTGAAACCATTGCGTTTTTCCAACAACGGCATTGTGTTTTTTGAGAAAATATTCATTCACGGTGCTGTTTGATTCCATGCCAGAGCCAGAAAACGCTGTGAGAAAACGGCTAATAGAACTGTATATGCCGATGCATTTTTTACAGTTTTCCCAAAATCTGATATGACTCCAACTTGATGCATTCTTTTAAGAAAACGTCAATGAGCCAAACACCACTTTAAATATCACCATCACCCAAACTTTATCCCAACTATATGGGGTCCCTTCTATGAATCCAGTTCTGTCACTTCATTCTATTTAATAGTTTATTCATTATGAAATTATTAGTGCTTAAATTATTTATTACTACTTTACCACATGTCATGGTTGATTGTTTTTTTTTTTTTAATTATATTCAAAGGCTACATAACTGGGGTAGCCCAGCCCATCCCTCAACCCTGGTGCAGGCGCCAGGCGGGATTAGAACTTACCAACAACCTGGTTGGCACCTTGTACTGCATCTCCTGATTGATGGATATCCCTTTTAATTTAGCCCTTCACCTTCACCTTGTAACAAATTGTTTCTTCTTACGTTTGAAGCTCAGCTCAACCGATTCATTTATTAAATCTTCCACTACACGAGTTGGTATATCTGGTCGGGTCGATTTCTTGTTCAGTGAATGGGAAGTTCCGTCCAGTAGCAGGTTGAAAGAAAGCATAGCGGAATTTCAATATATGCTGGCAGTGTGGTACCCAGAATGCATTTGTGATGTGACTATAATGGTTTCGGTGCACTTGCCGCTTTCCGCTCTCGGTGTCTCGTATTAAATGCTTGGTTGGTTGGTTCATGGATCATGGTTGCTCACTTCCTCTCCCAAGTCCCAAGTCACCAACACCGTGGACCGTGGTCCTGGTCCAAGTCCAACAATGCGCGTGCTCTTTGCCGTCATGTGCCAGACGGGTTCAATAGACTCAGCAGTCAGTACATACACTGAGCCGATCGGTCTTAAATAACTTAAATATCCAAACATTCGCTACACACCGACAGATCCAACACTGATTAATCTAGGCCTTAAGGGACAACCCACCCCGTCGAGTCTACATTCTACAATGACGGAAGACGATGATCTATAAAAGTAAAACGACGGTACTTCAGTCCAGATTTCAGAACAAAACAACCACATCCAATGGCCCTGATATTCAGAATGCATCTCACCTGACCAGAGGCTCACGCCTGCGTTACAGTTGACGACTATTACAGAATCAGAATTGTTTGTTCACCTCATCCTGTTCCAAATTCCAAGCAGTTATTACTTCTAAGAATATAATTTCTAAGTGCTGCGCTTCCCGGTTCCAAGTTTCCAACCCCAGATTCAACAAAACTTCTAAAAGACAAAAATTTCTAGCCTTGCGTGATTTTTAAATTTTTAATATGATGTTGTTGTTTTCAAGAACCAGCCATGAGACATTGTATACCCCATGTCTCATTTCCCTCTGCTTGGTCTGCAACTCGAACGAAGCAGCAAGTCAACAAGCAAAAACTCCTCCATGCTTCGAAATGTGTTGTGCCCTTTTCATTGATTAATTAATTAGCCATGCGTCGTGAGTCAGTCAACTATCTTTCATTCCATGGCTGGGGCTGGCTATCCTCTCCTCGTATTGTTATAGATTAAAAGTCGATGAGAGACACTGATCGGTTGGATAAACTTATAGGAGGATGTAAGGATTCTTTTCTTTTTCCACAAGTAGTTGACAGTTGACACCTTTATTTTTTTAGTGTATGCTCGGTGGTGTAATATGGTGACTTGATCAATCGGTTTGAATTGATGAAATTGTATCCCAAGATTCTCAATAAATTTATATGTACAATGTTGAATTACTTGATCTTTGTGACAAAAAAAGGTTTAAGACATTTCTTTTAGATCTTCATAAGCAAAGGTAAGCAGCCGGGTTTTGATTTACAAGTTACAACACATATTTCTCTTTTACAGAGTGTAGCAAACCAGTTGTCAGCTTGCTCGAATGTGACAGAAAGGGACTATAGCTTAGAGCTTGACCTTTCATATACGCAGGAGAAAAGAGAATAAACAGGACCATCTATGAAAAGAAACACCAGTACTCGATCTCTCTATCAGTACAGCCAAGATCCCATATTCTGTTAAAGAAACTGCTCTCAATCATCTTTACTTTTGTGTTTACCAAAACAAAATCGTTTGTAACTTTGCAGAAAAGAAGAAGGAAGAAAAAAGCTCTCACATTACATTACCTATTTTTTGTTATTTACAAACGGTAGGGAAAATGGCAAAATTAAGAAAAAAAATTATGTAAAAATTTTTCCATCATGAACAGAGCCTGGGTAAGGATCTAGCATTACTAGAGCTTGATAGTCGTGACTTCATGATTTTTGCCATTTGAGTTTGCATTTTCCTACAAACCTTCTCCAATTTCATCACCCTCCATTGCATCCCTTGTAAATGTGCCTTGAGTTTTTCGTTCTCCGTTGAAAGATCGAGCTTTCTTGCATAGAGAACAACCTGGTCATCATCCTCATATTTCTTCCCCTTGCTTCCCTTCTCATTATAACCATAGGGGGGATCACCCAGGGATTTGAAATGGTTCATGTCTTGGAGTATGCTTTTGAGCTTTGATTGTTGAGCTATGAGGGCTTGGACTGCTGTTCTTGATGGGAATTTTTTGTTTTGGGCAAGGTGTTTGCAAGCTTCAGATGAAAGCTTCTCATAGTTCAGTGCACAACAGATCTTCATCCTCTCTTCCTCCGATAATCCAGCATGGACCTGCAAGAATCCATCCCATTTCAATTCAAGCATTGAGATTTGGACAAACCAAGAATTCGACAAATCGTCTCCGTTCCTGCAGTTTAATTAGTAAACTCCAAACTCATTATGTCATCTGGTTGGGCAAATTGAATGTTACAGAGGCATAAACTTTGAGTTAAACGTATTGGTACATAATGATGATAACCCAAATAACGTTGCATCTAAGTTTTGAGAAATGTAATACCATACCTCAAGATACATGTCCATGGCTCGGTATATTCCATCATGGGAGTCTCTTGCAGAATCTGGAAGAGCCAGAGCTAATGCAGCAAACTTTGAAGGTTTCAAGCATGAATCTGGTGCTACCTCCGCAATGTATAAGTCCACCAAGCTAGCAACTTTCTTCAGTCGAGTAGAAGATACCCAACAACCTCCCGTTTGAAGAAATGATTTCAAGAACCTCAGGACCAGGTTCACATCATACAGATAAGCCACGCTAGGTGGAGAGGGTACAAGAAGATTATCCAATGTTGCTTGATCCAGGTGTGATCCAATCATACCTTCTAATCTGTTCCGGCAAATCTTGCTTACATTCAAACTCAAAGCCACTCGAAGAATCCCGAACAAACTCTTGCAAGAAACAGAGCTCCAATCAAGTGAGAAGAGCATCTCTACAACAGTCTCTATAATTTTACACTTCTCATCTGGTGTTGCTCCAGAAAACCTTGATTTTTGGTAGTAAAAGAGGAACTTACTGATAGTTGCATGATTGAATTTTTGGGCAGTCATGGCCTTTATCACTTTTTCAATCAAACTGGGGTGAAAAACCACAAGATCTTCAAACCACCACGTTGCCCTTGAGTAGCTGTTCTTCGTACTTTCAGTGCTTCTAGTGTCACAGGAGAACCGCAAAGCAGTGCTATCCGTTGAAGAAGTAGAAGGGCTTGCATCACTAGCCGGAGCCATCCTTGCTACAAGGGAATCCAGGCATTTCTGAAGTAGACCTGAAGAATTCACAATGGGAACAAATTCTTGGCACTGTTTCAAAGCTCCCAGAAGCTCAGACCAGGTCCAGTAAGGGATCCCTTCAAGGAATTTCTCAGTTTGCTCAAGTAGATTGTCAGTGCAGGATACGTCTTTGTTCATTTCCATGAAATGGGCAACACTGTTTAGGAGGATGACGTTAGATGAAGCTATCTCAGTTCTGCCGTTGTTGTAGCAGAACCTTGCCATAAGCTCAAAACCCTCTACTCCTCCTGGTAAGTCATGGAATACCACTTTAATTTTCCTGCTCTTGCCAGTAGATTTCCCAAATAATCTATTTAATCTGCCCGAGAATGATGAAATAATTTTCTGCAAATATCCATGACAGAACAAAGTGAGATGGTAAAAATGCAAATAGTAAGTTTCAGGAACCAAAAACTGGAGATGGATTCCATATCTAAAGAACCAGCTAGTAATCAAGGAAATATGATAAAGAAGATATGCATTCGTTTCAAAGGTTAGAAGAAAACATTAGAACGGTGAGAGGTCATTATAGACAACAAATTTGTGACTGAGAATCAGGAAAAGATGTCTGCTAATCATCCTAACATTAGAAAAAGGGACAGAAAGAAAACATTAGAAGAGAGGAATAGCATGGAAACAGAAATGAACAGAAGAAGAGAAGAATGAATCTCAGCCAATACCTTCTTTTGTGAAAATGGTGAGAACATGTGGCGAAAACCACAGGGATGAATGCAGATAGAAAGAGAAAAAGAAAGGAGGGAACTAGAAGCTCCATATTTCTGCAGTGTAGATGCAAATATACATGAAGGTAGGGAAGAATTATTCAGGATAAGATGGACAAGTACATCATGGCAGAAAAGAAAACATGCAAAAGTAGGTTGAGTCGTAGTTGAAGCAGATAAAATTTGCAAATGCTTCTATAAAAGCGCCTGGGAAACTAAATTTTCTTTGATAATTATAAAAGCAATAGACATAAGTATTAAAGAGAGACAAGAAAATTAAAAAAGGAAATAAGATCCTCAACAACAACAACTAAAAGCGGCCTGATTTTCTTATGGGAAATAACAGCACAAGCGGAGAAGAAAACCTCCCCTGAATCTGAAACAATTCAAAGCAACATTCACAATGGAAGGACAAATTACAAATCACAAACCCAATTAAAGCAGACCAAATCAAATTAAACAGAACCTCTAGAGTAGGGAAAAGAAGCCTGCAATTACCCACAGAGTAGAAGAAATGAACAGAATGAGCAGGAGTATAATTACCTTATCTACCAAGAAAATCTCTTGCCCATTAACATCCACTTCGAGATCACAGCAAACTTCCATCATTTGAATACAAAAACAAAGACAAAAAAGATCACTCCTCAAATTAGACGCTTTTTAACACCCAGAATGAGATTTTTTCAAGCACCCGATGGGAAAAGATCATTTTTCAGAATAATTCAATAGAGAGGAGAGAGGAGAGTGAGATTGTAGGGAGAGAGAGCCATAAAAGTCCATATTCTGAGATGGGGAAGAAGACAACGGAAAGAAGTCACTTCGATTCTGCAGTTTAGTCACTAAGAGTAGTAGAAGCAAGGTTCAGAGAGAGAGAGAGAGAACCAACAAGGCCTAAAAGACAGAGAAGAAGCATATATATAATATAAACAAAAAAGAAATAAAGAAAGAATATGTAAAAGTGTACAACTATGTAGCAGAGAGAGAGAGACCTTCCGAGAAAAACAGTTGTAATGGCCAATCCCGACTCCAATCCTTTCTCTGACATTCCTGCAAAAATTTTCCACCCTCAATAAAATAGACCATAAATGCTGCGGGGATTCTCACCGGAGCCTTAGAGCTGAAGCTGAATATCTCCCCTCCTCATTTCAGGCATTCTCTTTATTATTATTCCATTTTCATCGCTGCAAGTCTCTCTGTGTCAGGGACATACACCCACCGATCTCACCTTTTATTATTATTATTATTATTCATAAAAATAATAAATAATATTTTCTTTTCATAATAATAATTAATAGCACCTCTTACCGAGATCAAATCTTTTCTTCATTCCCAGCTTTTCCACATTATTTCTAATTGACGAAATTGCCCTTGTGTAGTTTCTACCACTTTTATATGGGCCCTCCCATTCATAGTAGGGCCATATTAAAAATCCATTTATTGATCGTAAATTAGTCCAGGTTTGTTTAGCGTTCCTTTTGTTCCCCGATCAATTTCTCCCACCCATCGCTTCTACTGAAAATCTGAAATGGGCAAGAAAAGATGATTTGCTAATTGCTATCGTTGATGTTATAATATTATATGTGCGTAATCTTGCGGTTGGGGATAGACAAAGTAGGTACACCCAACTGAAATGGAATCGAAAATTGAATCTTTAGAGCTGATTGACTATCGATCCGTTGATTCCCTTTTCTGGTGGATTCGACGGTTCCGATCGTCAATAGCTTTGTGTGGGTCCGACTCCGAAAGACCAAGTACGTGTCACGTAACATCTAGCATTCCACAAACATATCGATCGGTTGACTACTGAGAGTCTGAGACGAAGGCAAGGGAGACCGGGTCTGCTCCTCACACAAGGCGAGGGCACCTGTAAGACTAGGACTTATCCCAACCCAAGGTTGTCGTCATTCCTCAATCCGTATACCGGTTCAGATTACCTGATCAAAGATCCATGTACCGATTCAGCCCATGGCCTACTTGAGCTAGAATTCGTCCCCCACCCATGTTCACCAATCCAACGGTTGCAAAAATCTGGATAGATGTCACATCTAAAGTGGATCAGTGCAACTATTGAACAGGCCCTAGTGTTAGTTATATAGGAATCATGTGCACCCTCCTAACAGTCTTGCGTACCATTAGTCCATCTGTCCATGACCATCCATCTAAATCTAAACCCTATACCTGGAGTAGTCCTCACTCCTCATGGTCCAACCCAGGCCAGGGCCAAGGAGGATATTTAATTATTTATATTCTCTTCTTCACCAAGGAAACAGATTGAAGGGTGGGGATTTAACGAGTGATTGGTGGAGATTCCAATCTGAAGTCAGAATAGTGCCTATACCCGTGGCCGTGGTTGATCTTGATTCATATTTCATGGGTGCACATTGCCACGTGTTGGGTCCCTAAGGTGTGGAGAAGTTGAGTCGTAACTACATTTTTTGCCTTCAGAGTTCAGAGTAATCTTTGGCTGAAGCATCCGATTGTGAATTCTGATGCTTACGGTTGACGGAGGATTGGATCGATCGTCGATCTCTCCCTCTCCGGGTCCAGGGGCTTTATCGGAAGTCCCAAACAATGCCAAAAGCCTAACTGCCTGTCCCATCGGCATTAATTGCACATAGGTTGGATAATGTTGTCATTTAGCGTTGATTGTAGGGGCATTTATCGTGGAGGAAATACTGCGTGCTCCAAACTCGCGACCAAAGACATGACGACATTTCAAAATCATTGCTCAATCATCTCTCCTGTTCTCGCTTTTCAGGCCCATAACAGTTGTTGGCGGAGGACTAGTATAATACCCAAACTGTCCCCAATGCAATCTGTTATTTATTTTGTATATGGATGCCAATGGTGTAAAACGGGCCGTGCTGGGTCAACATGGTATGGTTCGTGCAAAGTACGGGCCGGGCCGGGCCAGACCTTCTTCTCATAGGATATTTTGGGGGTCAGCCCAGCATTGCCCATGGTCTAAACCCGTATTGGGTTGGGCTGGGTTGGCTTATGGGCCGAGCCTTGGGCTAAGTTGGACTGTGCACCAAGTCAATGTTATTTATTTTAAGATTTTTAAAAAATATAAATTTTTAATTTTATATGAATTTTGATGTATACAATTGCTTATATATATAATAATTATATAAAATAGTATAATAAAATTGAAAAAAACTTGTTTATTTTATTAATATATTATATAACATATATTATTATATAATTATAATATATATATATATTATATATACATATATTATTATATATATATATCCGCGGGCCACGGGCAGCACGACATGACAGTGCGGGCCATGTCAGCCCAGCCCACTGACCTGAAACCCAAGTCCAACACGGCCCATTGAACCATAAAATTATACCGGATTGGACCGAATCGACTCAAAATCATACCCGACCATGTTGAGCCACGGGCAACATGACCCGATTTACACCTCTAGGTTGTATTTGGTACCGTTTTTGTTTCGTCATCTAACGTTTGGGAGTGATCAATAAAAATTGGTGTTAAAATATAAGTTGTCATGTAATATAATTAGAAACGTTATGGTTGATCAATATAAATTGTAGTTGTTACTTGAAGCATCAAATTTTCATCTTTCAACTCTAAACAGCAATGATTAATCCCCACATGCATTTTTTTGTTGAAGTGACTTCCTTATATAAGTGACAATCCATCTTTTTTATTAATTTTTATTGATCAACTCCAAAACGTTTCATGAAAAAACTACAATGATACTGAACACAATCCTAGTTTTTTATGCTTGGTGTTTCAATTTAGGCCCTATAATTTTTGTTAGAGTTTTGTTCTTGTGAGACATTGGATATATATTTAAAGATAAAGAGGTAAAATCTTGCTGACATATACAATAAAGATTATAGTAAATGGTAGAATTGATGTTTCATAGTTAGGGGTGGATTTGAGTCGAGCTGAATAGCTAGTTATTCGACCTCGGTTCGCCAATACCTAAATGAAATTTAAACTACTTTAAATGGAAGACTATGTTCAATTTTTGGATGGACCATTTTGATCCCTTCCATGACCGTGAGGAACATAGTGTTCGATTGCACGTGGGCAGAACTAGTCCCATCCAAACCCTTTTATCTTGTTCCTAGGGTTTTATCGTGAATGGGAAGCATCCACATTGTTTCATCATAATTAATTTTTTCCTTTTGATTTAATGTTTATATTTATGTGATTTCTCATTTTTATCATATATTTTACTAATTTTTATCATTTTTATATTAACTTTGTATTAAATATTAACTTTCACTCTTTTTGTAATATTATGATAAATTTTTTAATATTGTACTGTTTTTATTTATTTTATTACCACTTTTTAAATTGTTTTTTTAAATAACGATTTCTTGTTTTTTTCTCATAAATATTACTAGCCTTTATTCCTTTATTATTAACTCTTAGTTAAATTTTAATAATTTTTACTATTTTGAGATAATATTGTGATGATTTTTTTTAAACATTGAACGATTTTCATTATTTTTATTACCAATTTTATTAACTTTTAATGAGTTTTATTAATTAGATTTTAATTTTTATGACAAATATAATTTTTATATTTATCAATAATTACATATTGATGTTTTTTGTCATTATTATTTTGTATTATTTTTTATTTATCTTAGTTTTAAAATATAAGAACTTTTTATACCTAATAAACTATGTAGATCATCTCATAAGTCGTAAGCTGAATGTAAGATATAAGAATCAATACACCACACCTGAAAGAATGCCCCTTTGAGTGTGGACCATTTCAATTCACATAATTTGTCCATATTGTAGAGCATCTGCAAACAATAGTGTAAGTGTGGACTGGTCCATGCCACAATGGTGTGGTGTGGACCTAATATCTCATCCATATTATAGAACGTGACTTAAGTTGATTTATTATCTCAAATATACTGTGTTATTGTTTGTTGGGTTTTTTTTCACTAAATATAAATTTTAAGCTTTCCATGTGGGTCCCACCTTACGAAGTCAAAAGTTGCTATGAGAAAGCCATCCCAATGCAGCTTCTAGCTTTTCAAGATGGGCTCTACACAAAAACACCTATAAATATGTATGGTGAAAAACCTAAAAAGTTAGAATAGGGTTTAATTCAATTGATAAATAGACTTTCCAGTGAAGCTAGTTTTAGTGGCTTTCTAAAGGCAGCTCAACTAAAGCTCAAGTCCTCCGAAAGGGGCTCTTATTAATAAGCTTTTCTTTGAACTGCTGAATCATATAAAAGAATTCGCTTTTTCTCTACTGTCATGCGGTAAGCCTGTTTTTTGAAGAAAAGACACAAGGCTGATTCTTACAAAGTCAAATTGCAATTGATGCAGATCATGTCCACGCATGTTAGCTTGGTCGCATTTGATTGTATGTGTGGGTTCGATATGTTACCTTTTGGTAAGACAACCCCACTTCACTTTGACGGATGGATTGCTCAGAAAGAAAAGCTAAAAGTCCAAGACCAGACGAAATAATAATAATAA